ATTTTTTTATAAAACTTTTAAGAAAAATAAAGCAAAAGGTTAGAAATTTTCATCTATAGAACAAGAATTAATAGTCTATTTATTTAAAATATTATCCTGTTTGTATGTATTTAGAATGTAGCAGTAATTCATCAAAAATTGCTTAAATTAATAGTTAGATTCGTGAACAATGAACTTTCTGTGGCCTAAGTCGTGGAACTCAAAGCACGTGGTAGTCAAATAAAACAAAGGGTATGTTTAAATCGAATTCTGAAATCCTATAATAACTAAGGGCAATCTACTGATGTATTATTATCCACTATTAGATTACTGCCACCTTAGCGTGCTCACATTTGATTTCATTCCATTGATTTCCATATTTATATCTTTCAAAGAAAAATTTGCGTGGTTTGTAGAAAAATATAGACAAAGATTTTCAGTTTATTTCAACATCCTGTTGATTTAACTTTTATTGCTTGAAACTGCTTAAATTACAATATATAAAAGTAACTACCCCTTCATCGTTGGAATATTGCCATGGAGCGCACTACAGTTCTATAGATCCATAAAAAGAGTAAAATATGTTCATTAATTATTCATTTCATCCTATATTAGGCAAGGATAATGATAATAACAAAAGGTATGAATTTAGTATTCCCCACCATTGTGTAAAAGAATATTGAAAACTGAATTGACTAAAATTAAAAATGGCAGGGATTCTATTGAAGATCTTCCTTAGATTTCATAAACCTATTTTTCATTCAATTTGCTTTCTATACCAAAAGCTATTTGTTTCCTATTTTCACCTGCACCTATACATAATCGTTTAACGAAAATAACCGTTTAAATCGATAATCAAACTAGATAAACCTCTCTAAAACCATAATCTGTTCTGATTTCAGCTAATGTTGATGGCGACGTTGATGACGACCTCAATCGTGACTACATCTACACCCAGTGAGATAATAAATAATTAAAAATGAAGTTATAAAAAAGAATATTATATCTAAATAAATATTAGCATTGAAATGGTGTTATGTTGAACAGCTGTAATGGGTTCTAATTTGTTAACTAAACTGGTACATTCTATTATTTTAAATTTGGTATACTTACTTCAAATCGTTATTAACTCGTCATTACGTTATTTATACTAATACTAACTATGATTGAAGAAGGATATTCTAAAGGCTTGTCTAATATAATAAACCATTTGTTGAAATACTTATACTGCCAAATTTTATTAAAAATATTAACAGTTAGGTATTCTGTTGGAGAATATCCTGGTGTTAGACCAAATGGTAGTTCAGGAGGTACGAAGTTATGTTATCATAATTTTTCTCTAATTTGGAGTCATAAATCTAGATAGACGCTTAGATTTACAGATGATTTAGAAGTATTAGCATCTATCAAGGACGAGTTAGAAATAGTCTTAAATAAAGTGGAAGCGATATAAAATACCGGTATGCGAGGGAAGAGAAATACGAAATGAACTAATATAAAGATAGATATGAAAAATTAGAAGACATTGAAAATTTTCGGTTTCTAGGAAGTCAATTAACTCAGGCTGGAAGGAGCAATGGAGATATAAAATAGAGGATAGTGTAGGGTCGAGTCGCCTATANCGACAATATTAAAGCATGGAAAGATCGAAAATAAGCAAAAAAACGTGATTTTTGAATTGACTTTTTTCTTAAAAAGTAATTTTTTGTGTCCTAACGATTTTTTTATATGCTTAAAACCTATATAGATCATGACCTCGATATCTAAACATGAAATAATCACCGTTGGTCAAGTCGAAATGCCTTTACAAACTGTTTGACCAAACCAAGTTTAATGTAAAGTGGTGGGAGCAAAACTTTCTTCTTTCAAACTCGTATTGATGACATTTTCACTCCGACTTCCAATGGATGCATTCTAATTTGGACATAGAAATACCGAATAACAATGATTTTGATTTACCATAAGTCCACTGTCTTAACGCTTCAACACAACCGGCATATTTTATCGTAACCCAGTGTTTATCTTGGTGACACAACTTCATTCTGAAGTAAGCTTAAGAAGCATTTTTTACAAAATCTGTTATATTCAATCTTTGCTTAACTACTGTATATTGTCCGCAAATGTAAAAAAATACCTTTGAATTGTTTTTACAACTCCGAGAAGCTATAGTATAAAAGATAAATGAAACACAATCTTTTATTACACGTTAATATTATATCTCTCTCAATAATGGCGCGCTATAAACTGTTTATTTTTCAGGCGGTGTAAACGACTATTAGTTACTTTCAGACTATCTAAAATAAAGTAAAACACAATATAATGCTCAGTCAGAGAGTATTAAATAGAAATATAAGCTATAAAATGAATTTTGTGAAGAAACAAATAAATTTGCCGATTCAAAGAGCATATACACATATTAATCTACATACAAAAAAAAAACTGTGACGTGATACGTTAAAACAAAGTTTATATTTGCAAAATATAGACCAACATTTACATGCTTAAGATAAATTTATACAAAAAACTTTTTTATCGCATTTATTTATAATAAATTAGTCGCTATTTTTTTAAAAGTAAGTGTTATATTTCGGAGATCCAAACAAAAAAAGCAAAACAGTTCTTTTAATACCTATATATATAGATATATCTTTAATGTTAGATTATACATTATCTCTAAAATTGATTAAACTATCCAACAATATTCACGACCATATCATAATTAATTTGGATCAGTCTTTTAATCATTTATTCATAACTGATTAAATTGTCTCTTAAGTAGTTTACTTACCCTATTAAATTCGTCATCGTCTGCCATTATGTTCCCCTTAAAACCGATACATATAGATGCCTAATTTCGGTGATTTAATTGTAAAATTATGCAAAGACGTAGGTTCCTACTTATTTTACACAACTAACTGGTAATAAAACCGAAACAAGATTAAATGTGGATAAAGGGATGATTTAACTTAGTTAGCGTAATATCGGTAGGTACGACCTTAATCGAAGCTAAAGTTTTCTTATTATCCCTCCTCGATTTATATTGTACATATTTAGCAATGGTTAATGAACTGATAGCACGCAGATTTGCGGTTTCTATATTCCTTACTAGGAAATTATTTTGTAATGGTAATTTAAATTGCAGGACGCTGACAATCCACAGGTATCGTCCGTTTCTTTTAAACAATTGAACTAGAATTATAAAAGCAAGGAAAAAATGAGTTTTCAGATGTTTGAGATGCAAAGATCTATATGCAGTCCCTTTACACAATAACCATCCTAGTTTTGACCGTAACCCATGGAATAAGTTTCTGCATTCATTTGGTCGAAAATTTAGTGTAACCTAGCCTAACCTAACCTAACAAATCTCATGTAGAATTCTCCCCTAAGATTAGAAGAAAAATCATTAGAAAAAATCAATAGTCATAATACAATTTCTTTGGACTTGAGAAATTAATAATCAAACGTAGAACCAACAGACTATAACATAGTCGTTAAGCAGTAGAGAGATCAAATTTCAACAAATCTTTATTATTTTTGAAATCATTGACAAACAATAAGTTCATTAATTATTTTATAATCAAAATTAAGAAAACTTTCTCTGTTTTATTGTTAGCATTTTTCTGCGGAATTCTTCGTATGCGTTTTTTTTGCCCAAATGTCGGATTATACCTCAGACTTTACTTGACCGATTTCGACAAATGAAAACAGAAGACCCTTCGATTTAGGTCGGTTGGTCGTGGTTGCTGTTGTCACCTCTCGTAGTTTAGTGGTCAGAACAATGGCGCGTAAAGCCAAAGTTCCCGGGTTCGATTCCCGGCGAGGGTGTGACAACAGCAACAATTTTTCCCTCATTAATTTGAGGTAGATTGTAGTGGGTAAATAAAAAATCGAAAAAATGATTTCAAATTAATATTGCATATTAATCCACTATTAAGTAACTCACAAGACCCTTGTCGTATACTAAAATATTATAGATTGAAATATTGACAGTGTATTTTAGGTAAAAGAAAATAAGAAAAACGGATTTTAAATTTTAGACAGCGCGAAGGCCGTGAATATTTCATTTAGAAGTTATTTTAGATTTCAAAAACGTGAATAGTTTGCATGACTGGTACCTACATGGTACTAACAGTTGAACTAATTTACAGAAAGTTCACAGCAACTTGTGAACCCTGTCAACAAAGTGTATGTATATCGATTACGTATAATAGTTACTTCAAGTGAACACGAAAATAACAATACCAACAAAAAACGATAAGTGCCTACCGTTTTACAATGATTCTGAAATGTCTAAACTAATACCAAAAATAAAAATAGGTTTTATACAAATTAAGACAACTGAAAGCAGTTGGAACTTTTTAAGATGCTGTGCAGCAGTGCTACAAGCAATTTTTAGAGTTTCATACCACAAAAGGAAAAAACGAATCGTTTTAGGATCATTTCGTTGTTCAAAATCAAATACCTAATCGCATATTTTGACACTCACAAGGAAATCAAAACCTATATGGTACTTCCGGTCGACCTAGAATATTATGAAGCAATGTCTTACAGCACAAGAAAAAGTCAGAAAATCGTAAAATGTCCCAAAAAAAGTTAATTAATTATACGTTTTGGAGATTGATTTTGGGGGAAACATAAAACACTCATGAAAAGGGAAAAAAATGTTCGATACTCAATTCATATGACAGAACAACTACTTACATATTACCTACAAGTTTGTACAGAAGCCTCGGTGCGCTTTTTTGTCCCTTTTCCTTTTTTGTAGCTTTATCTGAAATACATATTAGAAACAAAAAACGTATACTTATCATTGATGATAACATAAAAAACAGTGAAGCAAATCAATAACGAATTACAAATACCTAAATACCTGATTTATTAATGTGCATATATGCACATTTCCTTATGTGTAGCTTAATCAGTTGATTATCAAGAACTAAGTTTGATATCTGAAATAATTGTCAGGCGAAATTTGACTTAAAACTAATCGAACATTTGGTACAATTTTTCGTAAAGCATAAAGTAGCGATAAGATATTACATATTACGTAATCATCTACTATTTGTCATGGCAATTCTAATAAAAGTTGAAATGGAGGATGCGGTTTCTTCCTCATGTTCATACATTTATTTGAAAAAATGCTATTCAATACAACTAATAACAGTGACAAGGACTTTATATTAAGTGGAATAATAGAGGCATAGTAACAAAATGTTTGAAATATCGAGAAGTAAGTCTTTTTTTAAAAAAACCTTTGTTCATAACAAAGCTTTCTTTTAGAGTTTATTGGTGTTGGACTGACTTGTTTTGGAATTCTTTGTATATTACAAGCAACATCAGATTTTAATATAAAACATTTATCAGTAGGAAACGTAAGTGCAGATTAATAGAATGTTTTATATCCAGTGCCGAATTAAGCTTGCAGCAAATGTTTTAAAATTTAGAATATAAAATAAAGCAGCTTTACAGAAAAAATGCAGACAAATTTAGAAATTAACATTAGTAAAATCAACATTTATAACTTAAGCTTTTTCTATGTTCGTCGATGTGAGATCATTTAGACGTTTCTGTCCTTAACCCTTTTTTAATGTTGTTTATTAAAATAACGATTGAAATGTAACTTGATTCAGACAAAAATCATCCTTTATTATCCAACCAACATTTCGACCATCGGTTAATGGTTTCTTCCAGGCAATTGAATTGTTAATACATGTGGAAGCTTACAATCAACCTTGCTATTCATTATTTCAAAAATAACTATTAAGAAGGGGGCCCGTAAAATTTGCCAACTATTGCCAAATGTTAAACCATCAGTAGATGCACTACTTAGAAATTAGCAGATTTGTAAAAAATAACTTCTAAAATGTATTCAAATACAAATACTCTTACCACAAAGAGTATTTAAAT